TGAAAGAGTCCTTGTACTCTCTAGATATTAGCCACCGATGTAGTAATAAATTCTTTTGTGTTGATGATAGCCTTGCCCGGTCTAATTGCGGGTCTACCACGTGATTAAAGTCCCCCATTAAGATTACAAAATTTGTTCTTTTGTAAAATGTAATCTTGTCATGAATTTTAGCTAAAATTTCTTTTACCACTTCGCTATTGCTTGGTGGGAAATATGTTATCATAACCGAGAGCGTAACGTTGTTTGGTAAATAAAAGCTCACAATTAATAGAAATTCATTTAACTTTTCTACTTTTCCAATATATTTCTCTAATCTTTTGCTAATAAGTAACCCTACACCTAAACTTTTAAATTTGTTCACGTCTGCACCAGCCCAAATTCCTCGATAATTGTCTTTATCTTTCATTAAGAATTTTCCTGTACGCTCTTGTATATTAGTCTCTGTCAACCCAACCAAATCGAAACCTTCTTGCGCAGCCCGTACTAACACCAGATCTAACCAATAACTACGTGACTTTAACCTATTAATATTATGTACCGCTATCTTTAAAACCCTATCATTTTCTTCTATTATACTCCTCCTCTGTGTTGGAAGGGTCTAGGCATCCTCCTCCCACATTTCCTGAATCCTTTTTTCCATAAAAACGCCTGTAGCAACCTTTAGGAGCGATTCTGCGCTCCTAGGCTACTCTGCCTTAGCTCTATCGCATTGAGTCTTTGAAGAATTTGCTCAAGGATCGTGTTTTGAATATTTTTTTTCTGTTCTGTACTGTGAACTCCTGTCTCTATTTGCATTTCTGTAGTCGCTACTTTTCTTGTTGTAGACTTCACCTCACCATGACCTGAAGATTTCTTGATAGCACAAAGGATATTTTCTTTACTTCTATTGTTTTCAAGTAGTAGTAAGGTTCTCCTTTTTAGACGAGATGTATCAGCAATATCTTTAGAAGTGGTTGACTTGTTGGCTTTCGTTTTTCTCCTCTTATCTGTCAAACCACGTGCCTCGTTGCTTTCTCTTTTGCAGTTACGGTTCCCTTCTTTCGTAGACATCTTCCACTCCAATTTAGTGCTAAAATAATAAGGAGTTGATTCTTGCGCTTGTACCAAGTCTTCCTTAGTTTTAAAGTATACGTGCGCCCTTCTGCACTGATTACCATTACAATTACTTAGTATGTGTACTGCCTGCACCTTGAATCTTTTTAATTGTCTGAGAGGCAGATGTTGGTACATTGAAGATTGTGCTTTTGAACTTGTTTCATTCTTCTAATTCTTTAATATTGAATTTTTCAGGTATTGTTTGATAAGTTTTACCCTGATCCAAATGTATAGACCAATTTTCTCTTAAGGCCTTTCCTCTCTCCTCTATATTCAAAACAATCCTGATAAAAGCTGCTTTGGTAGTAAAGTTATGTTGCCATGCTAGTATTGTTGCTTCTTTAAAATATCTAAGAAATTTCTTAATTCTTTCCCTACTCATATCTCTTGGTAGGTCCCACAAAGTGAAAAAATATAGTGATTCATGTGTATACTTTCCTGATATGTATTCATCACTTGGAGCCCACATTGAGCTATAGATATCCTCTTGTTTTTTGGACTTTTTCTGTTTGCCTTCTACCCTTGTGGACCTTATTTTGTTGCTAGCTAGTACCTCTTCGAGACCATAGTCAAATGTACCAACCTCATTTTGAATAAGTGTGTTTACTTTTGTCTTTTGTTTATGCTCAACTAAGTTATTACTACTCTCCTGTTCTTTGAGGCTTCTTTTATGAGAGCTGCTATTGTTGTTGCAAGTTGTGTTGTTACTATAATTTTCAGATATAATCACAGGTTTTGTGAAACTAATTTCCATATCAGTGGGACTTGGATTAAGATTATTGTCTTCTTTCTGTATTATCTCCATACTATTGCTTTGTCCTAGTAGAATTTTCTCCTCGTTAAATAGTATATCCTGCTTGAACTCCTTGTTTCGGGCCCAATTATACCTTTCAACAACCTCTCGTAAAGCTGCTATAAAAAGTACATCTTTACAACCTAAAAAGTCTGCAATATGACTGTTTTGTTCAACTAAGGTTGCCTTTTGTTCCTTATATAATACTAGTTTCACCTCATCAGTTTGGTTAAAGAAGTTTTTATACTTCCAGAGTGCTAATATTGCTTCTTTCACGTGATTTGCGTACTGGTATGTTGCTTAATATAACTCTTTAACTTTGGCTTAAGCTCCAATTAAGTTATATGTTTTACGTGTTTTTACGTGTTTTTAACGTGTCTTTACGTGAAATATAGGTTGTTGATTTTGTGTATCTTTGTGTGTCTTTGTGCGATAATCTTGTATTGCACCAAAGATCTACACTACAGGGTTAATGCTATTTTCCCTAAAATTAAAGAAGCAAGCAACGTTTTTTAACAAACTAGAGTGCCTTTGTGTTTTAGCATTTTTATGTCAATAAATATTGTATTTGACATTCTATCTAGGCTTCTTCTAATGCTGAACTGACTTTTATTGTTTATACGATCTTCTGTTAGATTTTGTCACGTTCAGCTTTTGAAATCACTCTCGCTGTATTTTTGGAGTTTTGTCCTTTTTTCACTTGCAAGTCGACTAGCTATTGTGAAACTACTTTGTGTCTGTCTTTTTTGTCACCTGCTAGTATTTATCACTATTGTGTTGCCTTATAAATTGGAAAACAGACGTTTTTTCTTCTTACTACTTTTTGTGCCAAGTGATCGTCAGGGAGAGTGGTGTGTCTGTATAAGTCTTCTATATTCATTAGGTATATGTTTTAATTCTTTATATATTTTCAATTTAATTCCCTTTTTGGTTTTGATTTTACATTTTTGATCTCATATCTATAGTTTACTCCTTTTCCTTTGCTATTTATTGTCAGTATAGCAGATCTTGTTTAAACTGGTCTAAAATATGGTGAGTTTGAGTCTTTGTCTATTCCTATTTCTATAAGGTCTTTATTGTAGTCAGTTACTACTAACGGTCCTTCATTTTGTTGTTTTAATTGTTGCATTATTTTATATTCTTTATCTAATTTTTTCTTTTTTTCTTCAACTTTAGCTTTATAATCTTCTATTGATATTCTTTGTCATTTTTCAAAGGATATTTTCTGTTTCCTTTGGAATTCATCTTGTGGTTCTGTTATTTGGGTTGCAGCCTGATCTTTTATTACATTTTTCCCTAGGTCTTTATTATCTTTTCTAAATAGTCTTGTTACGACACCTATTCCTTTTGTTATAAAGAATAGTGTTGGTGATGATTTAATTATTTTTAATCTTTCTACTAGTTAAACTATTTCTATATCACCTCTTCTTTTTAGGTATCTGTCTGTTCCTACTTCAAAGGTCTAATCATATTTGTCTTGGTCATCTATTATTTTCTGTATCTTTGGGTCTAATAGCTTTATACTTGGTATACTATCCGTATCTGCAAATATTTGGTTTTCTTCAGTCTTTCCCATTAGTCCCATTGTTATGTTTCTTATTAGCTGTTTATCATCTTTAGATGTTTTACTTTTAACTGATTTTTCACTAGAGGAATCATCTATCATATTAGTTCTGTATCTATGGCTTTTTATTTCTTCTAGAATTTTCTGTGGTCTATTTGTTTGCTTATTTGATAGTTCAATAGGTGAGCCTCCAGGCTTATTCTGTAAAGTTAGTTTTTTATTAAATTCTTCAAAGTCCCTTTGAAATACTTTATCTTCTAGTATGCTACTAGTATCACTATTCTTATATATCTTCATATAGTTTATCTATTTTTTGTTCTTTTTCTTTTTAAATTTCTTTCTGTTGTTTAGATTCCTTTTTTAATTGTTCAAGTAATTCTTCTTCATTCGTTATTTTTTTAGGTGATTTGTTTTCTATGTCTATTAAACAGAAATCAAAGTATTTTCAATTTGCTTTTTCTCTAATTTTATCATTCTTTTCCATTTTAGATGTAGTTAAAAGGGTCTGTATAATAGCTTGTTTATCAAATTCATCTAGTTTTTTAAAGTTTTTATTTTTCATTTCTAGTGTCTTTTTAATATTTACTTGATACTCCTCTTTTTTAGCTCTTAGTTGTTTCTTTATTGATCCTTTCATTATCAGTTTTTGGTCATTGTATTATGTTAGAAAGTTAAACAGTTGTTCCTTTTCTGTTCCTCTAAATTCTTTAACTTCTATTGGTAACATTGGTATGCTTTTTATTCGTTCTACTGTTTTATGTACTTTTTTAAAGTTCATTCTATTTATTTTATTATATTCTGTTTCTATATCTAATATTTCTTTCATTAACTTTTCTAGGTCTTCAGTAAATTCTTTAGTATTATTTTTATCTTTTTCTTTCTTTAATTTTTCAAGATTTCTTTTTGTTGTATTCAACATTCCAGAGAATATAGATATCACTAGTGTTTTAGATATTTGTTTCGCTTTTGTTGGTTCTACTTGTAGTAACCATTTTTCTTTACTCTATTTATTTCATAAGCTATTCTTCCCATTTTTTCATCATGTATCCTTTTTCTCGATGCTTTCTTTTTTGGATCTTGATATTTCTCTTGTTATTCTATCTTTAGATTTTCTATAGCTTGTATAATATATTCTATCAGATCCTCTTTATATTTATATATCTCGTCTAGTGGTAAATCATTGAATTATATTCCTATCCTTGGGTTCTATTTATTTAGGTCTTTAATTTTTTGTTCTAAATCTTTATCGAGCTCTCTATCTGTTGGCAGTATATCATTTGCATAATGCCTTAACGTTCATACTTCATTTATTTATTCTTTTTTATCTAAATCAGTTTTTCTGGGTGTTTCCAATATACTTGCATGTATTTGTTTTACTAATTCTCTAAATATTTCTTGTGGCAGCTGTCTGTTTAATAGGTGTTTATGGATATCTTGTCCACTTCCAAATACCATTACTTTTATTTCTATCGCCTGGCTGGCCTTAGTTTTTTGTTTTCTAGTGCAAATTATATTATTTATATGTAGTAATTGTATTTCTTTTCCATATTCCTCAATTACTTTGAGGCAGTTCTTGAAGTTTCTTCCTAATCCAGCTGTAAAGAAGTGCTATGTATCAAAGCACAGTCTTATCCGGTCTATCGCTTTACTGGTTTTATCTTTTTTATATCTTTTTTCTTTAAGGATACTTCTCTCTATTCTAAGCAATTCTTCAAAGGTTGCTTCGTAAAACTTATTTGATGCAGAATTTTCTAATAGTATTACTACATCTATAGCACAAATATATTTGAGGATGTGTATTAAGTTTTTGGTTATTTTTTTAGGGTCTGAGTTATTTGTTGTTCCTATGTATAGTACATAGTTTCTAGCTTCTATATTATGTACTCTTTGTATTTCTTGTACAATCCTATTAGTTCTTCAATTTACTTTTCCTTGCTTATTAAGAAGGTTACCACTAATTGTTAATCCCATTGAAGCATGTATGACTAGCTTCAATTGTGCTTGTTTATTTCCTTGAATGATTTTTATATCATTCTAGATATCTGGCAATCCTCTTTGTAGAGTCACATAATTGCTATAAGCCTCATTTTTAAATCCTCCTTTTACAGGTATATACTGTACAAAGGTTTGGATAATATTTGCTTCTGTCTCTATAACTGCTTGTACTATTTCATTTCATTGTTTATTTGTTGTTATTCCTATTAATTTCTTTCTTTTTCTATTTTGTTCACATATTTTTAAGAAGCTAAAGAGACTGTATTTAAAGTTTTTTAATTAATTCTAATGTAATCAAATTAATCTGCATCTATTTAGATTTATTTAAATTTTTTTAATAAAATTTAAATCTATTTGAACTTTCTAAAGTAATCAATTTTTACTTTATTATAATAAATCATTATATATTTATCTTTATTTAATTATATAAAATTAGTATATTAAATACATTTAATTTATTTCAATATAATAGTCTTTTAAATGCATTAAATATATTTAATAATACCTGAATTTTTTTAAACCAAATTTTGGTCAAGGTAAAACAATTCGAATTAATCCGATTTATTTTACATGTAGCTTTTATTACTATATTTAGTTTATGCA